GCATTATTGACTTCCATTGTTCCAAACGTCGGTTGGGGCTTATAAATCTCCACCAGAAGCTAAAAAAGCACAAATATGCAATAATCCCTGAACATTACAGCTTGGGACTCTTGCCCATCTGTTAGCCTGCGAAGGTTTTTATTTCTTCCTGCATTTTTGTCAGTCTTACGATGCGTTAACTGTTTCACCCAGGGACATTACGAGCTGTAACCTGCTCCAAAGCCCTGCATTCATGACGTTCTTCTGATGAGGAAGTCTGGCTATTTCGGAGCATGACTGGCTGCCCTATGCTGATTGCGTAGGAGTGCAAAGCTATCGGATGCATTGCAGGCCTATGTGGAATAAACGGCTGGAGCCAAAAACTTCTTGTCAAAAAAGATTGATTTCTGCTTGCAGTTTTTTCTTCTGTTCACGTAAGGACCTTAGGAAGCTGGACAGAAATTTGCCAATTGCTATGAGATGATGATGATGATGATGGTGGTGGTGGTGGTGATGATGATGATGATGATATCCATCAGTCACGTCCAATCCTTGGCTATTCTAAGGGCCAGCTGGTCCCTCCGCATCTTCTGAACCTGTTCTGATCCTTTGGGTCAGTCTGTGCTCTTGCTGCTCGGCCAGCTGTGACGGTGTCTGGCCTCTGTGTTCTTTGGCAGCCTGGCTCCCTATGACCACTGACGCTTCCCTGCATAATTACTCTTCCCCGTGATTTTGCATGGCTGCCTGGAGAACTCTGGGAGCTGAAATCTACAAGCTTTAAAGTTGCCAAGTTTGGACAGCGGCCCCCAACCTTTGAGGCTTGGCGGCCTGGCTTGGTGGCAGAGGGGGACCGGACCATACGAGGGATGGGCTGGGGTGCATGCAGCTGGCATGGGACTGTGCGCGGGCATGTGTGCCAGTCCATCCCGTTGTGTGGCCCGGTTCTGAATAAGCCATGGCCCACTAGAGGGGATTGGGAACCCCTGGTTCAGCGGACACATTTTTGAAAAGTTAATTTTGCTTTTGATCTGCTCTTAGTGCTAAGCAAATTGCCCCAATGAGGAAGGAAGGAGGAAAGGAAGGGGGAAAGGAAAGAGAGAAGGAGAAAAGAAAGGGGGGAAGGAAGGAAGGAGGTAAGGAGAGAAGGAGGGAAGGGGAAGGAGGGAGGGAAGGAAGGTGAGTAGGAGAGAAGAAACGAGGGAAGGAAGGGGGGAATGTAGGAGAGAAGGAAGGGAGAAAGGAAGGAGGAAAGGAAGGGGGAAAGGAAAGAGAGAAGGAGAAAAGAAAGGGGGGGAGGAAGGAAGGAGGTAAGGAGAGAAGGAGGGAAGGGGAGGGAGGGAGGGAAGGAAGGTGAGTAGGAGAGAAGAAACGAGGGAAGGAAGGGGGGAATGTAGGAGAGAAGGAAGGGAGAAAGGAAGGAGGGAAGGAGAGAAGGAGGGAAGGGGAAGGAGGGAGGGAAGGAAGGTGAGTAGGAGAGAAGAAACGAGGGAAGGAAGGGGGGAATGTAGGAGAGACGGAAGGGAGAAAGGAAGGAGGGAAGGAGAGAAGGAGAGAAGAAAGGAGGGAAGGAAGGAG